TAGAAGGATTAGAAAGAAGTAAATCTATATATTTTAAGGCTTTATTGAGATTTTGTTTAAGTTTCCACATGTCCTCCATTATTAGCAATACAAAGGGTAATACGATTTTGCAGTTCACGGAAAACATTTGCCAACTGATTTACAGTAATGCCTGAAATCACATTAGTTATTTTAGCCACACTTAAAACTAGGTATATTAAACTTTATAACATTTTTTCTATCGCAAATACAAATATACTTATTAATTTATTAAAGTGCACACTTTCTTTATGGGCACCCTGTATATAGTTAAATACATATATATATATATATATATATATATATATATATATATATATATATATATATATGAAAAAATATTCTTTAAGGTGTGCTATATTTATGGGATAAAGTGCTCAATATCAGAGATAGAGCGTGTGTAAATATAAAAGTGAACATTGAAGTCAACACTTAGAGGCGACAGGCAGCTTCATGCTAATTACGTCTGGCATGCAACAGCCTGTCGCCTGTAAGTGCTGACTTCAATATTATGTTATATATATATATATATATATATATATATATATATATATATATATATATATATATATATATATATATATAGGTATTAATCCGTTGGTATAAACCAGGCTATCCTATTAACACAACATATAATTTGAAATATGTTAAAACTGACTCATAAAAGAGCGCTTAATGTTTATTTTTATGAAACAGAGCAAATTTTATTTACAATTGGAATTAAGACAATTCCAATACACACACACACACACACACACACACACACACACACACACACACACACATATATATATATATATATTTATACATATGTATGTAATTTTCTCTATCAAGTAATTCATTTCTGTAGTTCACTGCGATTAACAAGCAGGTTTTTTTTTATTTTCGTGATGATGACCATGCTGACCGAAACTAGTCGAGGAATCTAATTGAAATAATAAAATGAAAAAATATTAATATACAACCCAGTGTGTCTGAAAATTGTAATTTTTTAATATTTTTCAGTCTTCGAAAAGCACACACACACGCACACACACATATATATATATATGTATATATAATATTATTTGATAATTAATAGGGTTAAATTCAAAGAGGATATAAATAATATATCTTATATTAATATATGAACGGAGCAAGTATAATAATGAAAGCGGAGTCTTTAGAAATCTATTTACATTACAATCTATTTCATGGGATATGCGTCCATCTCTTCAGACCAAAGAATTTTACAATAATTTTGTTGTAAATGTTTCCAACAAAAAAAAAAAAAAGAAATTTACAACAGTTTCTTTGTAACATTTTGACGGATGACGGGAGCAGTTTTTTTTTTGTGAAACGGAAAACTTCTCGTCATAAACTGATAGTGGAGAATTTAGTCATCAACGACATCATGATAAAGGGAGTTACCGGCAAAAAGATTCTATTCTTGGATACGAGATAAATCCGACGACGACAGAGCATTATTCCAGGAAGTTTTGGAGAAAAAAATAAAGAAAAAGAACATCAGGAAGAGTCTGTTGAAATTTGTAGGGTATATAATCAAGAAAGAAAGCTTAGAAAATGTGCTCCTCACAGGACAAAAAAAAAAAAAAAAAAGCGAGTATTAACGTCTGCTTCAATGAAATGGAAAACTTCGTTAATTTTTAGTCATTTTATTTGTACCTTTGTGGAATCTCCCACAACACAACCAGCCTTATCTCTTTGAAGGAAATGCACTCTTCCTATCTGGTAAGCCAAATTCTACTTTCAGACAATATAACAAGTATTCATTGGTTAATCACCTCCAATCTGGCTTGCTGATTGGTCAGTTCCGACCAATCAAACCGCCTGTACGCGACCAATCTGTTTTCCCGCTCATATGCTGGGAGCCACTCAGCCATTACAAAAAACTGAACACGTGTGAACCTTTCGGAGTGGTAACTACCAAGTTTCAAGATGTAACCTTCACCGGCCCCCGGCTTAGTCATTGCTGACCAGACGTTAAAGACAATTACCTACTTTAGACAGTCAGACCTCCACACCTAGAGAGATGACCATCAATTCCACGCCAGTCTAAACTCTGACTTGGCCGCGTAAAAATATTCTCTGACAGCAACCTTCGCGCACACTCTATCTCTCTCAAGAACATTTCTCAAACTTCACTTACTATACTTTCAAGGTGATATTTCTCACAACATAACAAGTAATCAGTAACTAACAATCTATTTTTCTCAAGCAGATAAAGGTACGCAACTCTTGAACAACTTTGAATATTTGTATAAATTGTATATAAATTGATGTTATTGTTATGCATTCAACTTTTGTCTTGTTTTCAACTTTATTTGCATGATTTGTTCTAAATAATTGTTGTGGACGAATGTTGTAGAACACGGCCTCGAAATTCCTTCTGATCAATTTAAACACAATCACCAGTCTGCAACACCTTCTTAATATTTCAGCATTCACGTTCATGATTGTTATTGCAATATATTTATTAAAGTTCTTTTTTTTTATATTTAATGAGGCAATCGTGGATTTTCCACAGGTATTTTCTGTTCGTGAAACTTGCAAAACGCTTACTCAATCCTTAACTTAAGAACTATCCTTCATCAGAAAATTCAGTTTTTTTGCGTTAATTTTTCACGAATATAGCTAGTAAGTAGAATTTTATTTAACAGTAAAAAACTTAAACAGACTTATATAGCAATAGCTAACGGTAATTTGACTCTTCAAGTCCAGGATCAATCGTCAAATTTTCTCGTTCTACTTATAATCTTTTCTATCTACGCCTTCGTCTTCCATTTCATATCACACCCCGCGTTAGCATTTCAAATGTAACTCTCCACATTAATGTTCCGTATTAGTTGAAATTTAGTTTAAACAAAACATACAGACATTTAACGTAAACAGATATTCCATTATGTACGGGCTCAAATATCGAAACTAGCTGTAAATATGTTAACAAATCTAATTTAATTTATCCAAGCAAAACTGGAGTGGTTTTATATTTGTAATTTCTTATAGCAACCGACAAAAACACAGATGTCGTTATGTGAGGGTTCAAATATCCATGAAGGCAATGAAAGAGCTTATAAATTTTATTTTATTTACCGAAACAAAGCCTCAAAACCTTTCAGACGAATTTCTAATATTAAATAACAAAAAAAGAAATTACATCGATGGCATTATGTAAGGATTCAAATATCACAGCTAGCAGTGAATGTGCAAATAAATATGACTTTATTTACCGTAACAAAGCTTCAGCCGTTTTATATAGCGGCTTCTAATTGTAATTAGCGAATAACATACCGACAACATTATGCGCGGTTTCAAATATCCAAGTTAGCAATGAATGTGCTAATAAATTTTATTTTATTTGCCGAAACAAAGCCTCAGTAGTCTTAGCTAAAGAATTTCTAATAGTAACTTAAAACAAAATTACCAATGCCGTTACAGACGGCTTCAAATATCCAAGAAGATAACGATTAAAAATTCGAATTCTTGAAGATCAAACGTGACTGGAAAACAAGAAACTGTAAGAGTTCCGCAAGCGAGCAATGCGAAAGATAGAACATCTTAAATGTAACCATTTCAATATTAAATGGTAGAAAGATGCGAACTTGCTACCAGCACTACGTAAAGTCTAGCTACCATAGAGGAAAAATCAACAGAACAATTACTATGAAAATATTCATAGAAAAGACACAGGGCAGCTACGTTACAGAGGTCGGAAATATGAAGATGAGTTATAAATAACTAGCAGTAGAGCCCGGCATTGCCCGGGAATGTAACAGTAAGAGATAGATCAAGTATCGACCATCATAAAGACTGAAAAATAAAATTGACAAAGATTATTGTTTAAGGTTGACGGACACGCATGTCTTAATTATTTTTTTTTTTTTTTTTTTTACGAATTGGTCAAACCCAAACTCAAACAAAAACATTGTTTTCAATCGTTATGAGTCTACCGATTGAATAGAATTTTATTATAAACAATTGTCTTGTAAATGGAATTTTAAAGCATTTCTGAATGTAAAAATAAAAAAAAAAAAAGTATGCAAGACAATAAGAAACACTACCTGCCAAAAAGAAAAGTGAAGTTTTGTTGAAATCGGTTGAAAAATGCAGGAAATCCGATCCCATATATAAACGAACACACACACACACACACACACACACACACACATACAACTTGGGTTTTATAATAAGTATAACTCGATATGAGTTGTCTCCCTTTCATCCCGCGAAAGCGATGCCTCTTAATCGTGTTTTCAAATTGATTTCATGCAAAAACAATTGTGTTTTTCCAATTTTTGGCGCTGTCAGAACCACCGCAAGGTAATTTTACGTAGTCCCGTGAAGTTTTGTTGAAATCGGTTGAACAATGTAGGAAATCCGATCCAATATATAAACGTATAAACACACACAACCTGGGTTTTATAATAAGTATGATTAGAGTTTTTGTTTAGCAAATTTAGTCTTCAAAAATAAATAAAAATTACATTTATTCAGTTATATATTCATCATTATTTGCAATGTCATGTATGTTTCTACAAGATGTTTTAAAATAAGGAAAACGCCAATTAGGAGGAGAGAAAAAATGTCGGCTGCTTCTCTTATTTGAATATTAACTAATACAACAGAAAGTTTTTAAAATCATTTCACCCCAAAGCAAAGATTATAACGCTATAAGATGCAATGGTTTACTGCGCGTGAAAGAATATGAGAAAAAGAAAGAAAATAGTAAGGAGGGAACAATAAAAGAAGAGGAATTAAGAAAACAGAAGATAAAGATCATAAATAAATTAAAATTTTTACGGACAAAATTAACTAGAAAGCAAGAAGCTGGAAGACAGTTCGACATCTGAGAAGTGCAAGAAAGAAACAACATAACATAGAAATTACGCATACATCAAGCCATTTCAACTGTAAAATCTCTATCGCAGTCTATTTATATCTATCTATCTATCTATATATCTATCTATCTATATATCTATGAG